AAAAGTGCTTTTAAATTTCCCTTCAAACTAATTGACATAAATTCTTTCATTAAGTTAATAACTTCGATTAATATCTAATAAGTTTTAATTGTTTATAAATTAAATAAACTTATTAAAAGTAATAATATTGTTATTATTATAATTGCTTATAATAAACATCCTAAATCACTCCCATAAAAACGATGAGTTTTGTAAAACATTTTTCGTTTTTATACGACCTAACCGTGAGTGAGAACTTGAATTACATTGATTTGTTTGTGATAATATTCATAAATGATAATAACAATTGTAAACATTTTTACAGTTTGCTCATACTTTATTACAAGATTTTAAATAAATGTGTGTGTGGGTGTGTGTGTGTGTTTGTGTGTGTGTTTGTGTGTGTGTGTGCGTGTGTGTGTGTCATAATATGTTTCTTTTTGTAGCGGTCTTGCGTAAATTAGCTACACCTTCACGCTTGTTTGTTTCGTAAACTACATTGCTATATTTTGTACTTTTGAAGTGTTTTAAAAGTTAAATCCATATTCATCGTTGCTACTTTGGCAGAAGAACATCATTGAAATAAAAATATTTTGTTTAATTTCCGTAGCAGCAGCAGTTTAAGAAAGCGCGGAATAATTCTGTTACATTAATAATCGCCGTCGGCACGAAATATCTTGACCATCTCTTGTTTGACAACTTCACCTGTATGAAAAGAAGCGAGCAATAATTTTATTTTTATCTGCTATGTTTTTAATAAAGAATGTAAGTAATTAAAAAGGCAGTTACAGCATAATCAGCCACACGTCGACCGAATAATTTTCGTGTTACAACCGGCATCCATTAAACATGACTATAAAAATAATAGCTAATAGCCGTTTTATTGCATGTATATTTAACTTTACTTCAATATAGCCTGATTTATACATTTTAAATGTATTAATAAATAATTATAGGTAAGTAAATGATTCCAATTGGATTTATCGTATTGTTGCTCAAATTAACTATTTGATCTAGTTGATAGATAACAATTTAATTACTATAATATATACCGTGTGTTTATTTAAATGACATACTTATTAAGATTAACTAAGGAGACGTTAGAGTAGTAAATCTTTTATCAAAAATTCTAATCTTTAATTTATGATTATTTATATAATATTAAAATCTTATTAGAATTAATAGTTGTAAATTGCATTTAGTAATCAAGTTACTTGTAATTAGGTCTACCTACAAACGCAACTATATAATATACTAATAAATTATAGCTTATAACATACAACTATCGCTTACTAATGTAAATAAAAAAATAAAAGTATTTCTAAATTTTCTACTTCAACAACAATTTATGAACAAACACTAATGTAGGTATTCAATTGACTACAGGAAACAGAATGAAGCATGCAATGAGATGATGTATTTACCAGTAATAGACATCCACGGGTATCGCGGTATGTCGGGCAGTGGCTGGGCTGAGGGCTGGGCACAGGTTGCGCCCATGGCGTCAACGGAAGCAGCTGAAGCTGCTGATGCAGCTGACGCCGCCGCCTGGTGGTAGAACTGTGCCGCGGCTGCCATGCTCGCCGAAGCAGCCGAAACCGCCGCGCCACCATTGTGCTGACCCAGAGCATAGTTCATCATAGGATCCGCGCCGACCGCGGCCGGATACCGGCAGCTCTTGTCGTCGGCACCGACGCCCGCCGAGAACGGCACCGAGCCGCCGAACTGCTGATGATGAGACACGTACGGGTACATCCTCGCCGGCGCGCCCGGCGACGCCGACGACGACGACGACGACCGCTGAGGGCTCCCGGCCCCTGGTGAGCCCGCGCCCAGAGCCGCCGCCCCCAAGCCTCCTGACAACGACGACGACAGCGACGTCGACAACGACGACGACAGAGATGACGACAGAGAGGCCTCTATAGGAGATGCCCCCGTACCCGCGAACAAGTTCTGGTGATGGAACTGCTGGTGGTACTTCGGGAGCATGCTATCGATGATGAACTTGGAACTCATCGCTCGGCGGCGACGCGGCGCGCGACGTACGCCTCGCGGGAGGATGCGTTTATCGCCGGCGATTCGGATCGATTCGCGCGCGTGCACCTCTACTATGGCCGCGGATCGTTTATGACCCGCGTATGAGGCTCTACGACTCTGAATTCCCCGTCGCGGCAAGCGTTTACCGCTGCCGCGCGCTGCGAGCGAGACGGCAAATCAACGACCTCACGTGGGACTGTGATGGAAGAATCGAAACGCGTGAAGTCAAAAAACTCTCCGTCTCGTTAATTTCTACCTGCGTGGCTCGTATTAGAAAGAGATAAAAGCTATTCGCTAACGAGTTTCCCGCCGGCCATTGTTGGTAATGGCGGCCGCCCCCCGCACCTCCGGGCCCACGGGCGTTACGCCAATAGTACTCCGCTGCAGACATTCGCCACCAATCACAAACCATTCCAGCACTTCTAGCTGTCAAAGTGAACGGCTTTAAGCGGAACGGCGCCAACACTTTTTCTAATATTTTCATTTGCTTGAAAACTTTACAAGTTTTTAGTATAAGAAAACTTAAAGGGCACATTCTTTTGTTAAAATATGAGCTTGTAAGGCAAGGCTTATAAATAAATATAAAAAAGATTCCGCCTTTACGGATTTGCATATATTTTAATATATTCGTAAATTATGTTAAATATGATATCATAATGAAATAAAATACATAAATAAATATATTGTGTTAAAGTATTTTAATGTAGAGCTAAAATTATATAGAGATAAGAGATTGAACTTATTTTTTTTGGTTACAATATTTAAAACCAAATATTGACACGTTTTATAAAATCAAATTAAACAATAAAGATAATTAAAAATCTGGATACATTATTTTCCTCATATATCCTCTTGTTCAGAAAATTTCCTGCTATTTTATTAGCATATTTACTTATTGGTATTTGTCAGCGCAAAATACTAAGAATATCGTAGGTTACAAGTTAGATTTAAAATGAATACGTATAATGTTATACCAACAAGTTATCGATAAGGTGAGAGAGTACTCTTTTGGTTTTCGATTATTAAATACATAAATTTTATAAGCTAACGTAGAGAAAACAACTGTAAAAATGTATTTGTGGGCGATCGGGCTGGCAAAGTCTTAAATGATATTTTGACCTATTTGACGCTCTTGTATCATTTCATAGATTCCATTAAAAGTTAAGTAAAAAACTAATATAATTCTTATAAGAAACGTTTAAAACATTTACTAAACTATAAACAGGGAATTGCACTTGGTTGTGTTACGCCAGCCACGTGGTTGAACCGGTGTCTCTTGTCCCCCTCCAACTTATATGCTTTCTCCTTCGCACATTTCATTCATACGCGCGGGTCGTAACCGCAGAGAGCACGTGCGCAATAACAAACTTTACGACTATTTAAATAAAACCGTTTATTGCGTGAGAAGTTTATTTATTTACAGCGATTTCGATTGTTAGCCGCGTTTAGTGCATGGTTTTTATGGGCTTAAGTTGCCTTTTCAGCTTTATCAGGTCGCTAGTACGACGGTGCGGCAGTAGAACATTGCATAAGTATAGGTTTTATGTTGTTATTGTGATGTTTATGCCACAAATGTATAGGGAGCAATGATATGGCCAGTTAGGGTCATTTGTTTTACGATAGGTGCAATTTTTTATAGCTATTTAATTGTTTCGAATTATAAATATGGAAGTTAACGACTATTTACGTCCTTATCTACGGTTTATTATGTAGGAATATGATTTTTATTGCTTTATCTTTAAGTAATAGCTGTGTCCATAAAAGTTAACCTTAACTTTTTTATATAAATAGTTTAACTTTTTTATATAGATAGTTTAATTAATACCTTAATTTTGTCTGTCAATGTTTGTTATATGAAGCTGCTGTAGAGTTAGTGTATTATTTCTGTGCTGCAATAGAGCCGTATAAAAAAATTAAAATTTTTAATAATTATTGCATACGTACCTAAAACACTAACATTAATATTTTTTTCTCGCTTTACTTATTTTTGATGTTAAAATATTATCTACAAAACATTATAGTACCTAGGTACTAGGTAGAGGTGTTTAATAGAGTTGTGTAATGACTTATATTTACGCGAACACTACGCGTTTTATTTTTTTTTTTATAGGATAGGGTGACAATCGAGCACACAGTCCACCTGATGGTAAGTGGTTGCTGTGGCCCATAGACATCTACACCTATCCTCGATTACGAATCAAAATGCAGATGTGTTGTCACCCGTGAGGACTAAGATGGAATGCCTCGTTTCCAGTAAAATGGGTCTCCGGTTCTCTACACTCACCATACAAAATACAGCAGCATTAAGCTACTATTTCACGCTGGTATTCTGTGAGAGCGTGGTCCTTCCCCGGTCGAGCCGACCCATTCGTGCTACAACTATACGTCTGATATAACTGCAGCATGGCTCTACCACGTATAAAATACGTTAAATAAAACTATTTATCTTGATCGTTTAATTAAACGCGATAAAATACGTATTAATTGTTATGCTCTCAATACTTTGTTATACCGTAGATATATTTTTCTTCTTATTTCATTAGTAGTATCTACCTATAGTTTAGCACGAATGGGTCGGCTCGATCGGGGAAGTACCACACTTTCACAGAATACCAGCAAATTAATGCTACTGTGTTTCGTACGGAGACCCTTTTACTGGAAACGAGGCATTCCATCTTAGTCCTCACGGGTAAAACGCATCTGCATTTTGATTTGTAATCGAGGATTGATGTACCTAGATGTCTATGGGCCACAGCCACCACTTACCATCAGATGGACTGTGTGCTCGTTTGTCACCCTTAACCTATAAAAATATTTTTTTTAAGTATGACCCAATCCGCCAGTACGCATTACCCTATGTAGTAGACGCTGCACCGTTTTACTGCCTTAGAAAAGAGGAGGCCTCTCTCCATAGGTGGTGATATATAGGCTGTTACTTTTTTAGGAAGGCTAAAAATGTTAACATGACATTAGATTCTATTTTTAACTAAATAATATTTTTATTCATTATTACAAATAAATAAACAAAATAAAAATACCTGATATTGATTTAACCGATCCTGATAAAATTAATCTAAGAAACACTAAATTAAATTGAGCATAATATTTATTTAAGATCTACAAATATCATAAATTTATCTAAATCGCATTCTTTTATTTAAATTGTGCAAGGACATACCTATGCAGTAAGAAGGCCAGTATCACTGCGACCTGTAAGATTTATCTTCAATAAATTGAAACAAATAATATGATTTCTTTGGTATGAATTAGTATGGATATGCGTTCCATTGGACCTTTAAAATATTATCTTTCTATGATAACCGTTTAATATATAAAAATCTCTGTTGTATATAAATATTTCTTTCCGAAATAACGGCTGTTTAGTATATTTTTAGGGTAAAGTATACCACGTAATTAACGTTTAATATAATCTCAAGTGTCATTCGTTCAGTCAGTTTAAGTCAATAAAGGTAATGTGATCAAATAAAATAAAAAATAGCAGTTTTTTATTTCATGTGATTTAATGATATGTAAAATAAAATTTCAATACCACTACTGAATATACAACAGTAATATACTGTACTACTATAGTATCGTATACTTTGTATACGAAAGTTCTGCACGCCGCAATTAAGTATCTATTCATAAGTATGTCTAAGTGTAATACAGTGTAGGTAAGTCTGAGTAAATATAGCCAGTGAAAGTTTGTAAGATGCAAAGCTTTTCTAAGTTTCAAAAATATATTGTGAAAACTACTTCAATAAAACTGGACTGTTAATTCTGACGGTCTTATTGCACAAGTGATAGCATTAAAAATTTTGTACACAACCAACTTCAATATAAATAAAATGGGAACATCATCAATATAGTCGGAGTCAAAATATACATTAAGGATAACAACAAAAGCTATTGATCAAAACTTGATGAAATTTATATGGGACCACACGAGAAGCACTAGCATTCAAATAAAATCCTTTTTTTGAAGTAGGTTGAAATTGAAAAATATGGTTAACTTAATTGATAGGTTCAATCTTAAACTATGATATAAGAAAATTATACAGAGTTTTTGATAATTTAAACCATTCTATTAATACAGCACGTTTAGCAATAAAACCGCTAAAGTTAATTATCTAGTCACCCTGAATCATTACTTGCCATCAAAAATCCTTATTAGAAATACGCTTTAAAGGGATAATGATCAAGATGAATTGGTATGAGAGATTCAAACGTTTAACATCTCAATAACATTAAAAACTTTAAAGGCAAAGCAATCCATACATTGCTCATATAAAGTTTACGATACACAATAGTGGTTCGCGTGTACCGCCATATAATCGCATAACACATAAAATGTAGCCAAATGCGAGTGCAGGCTTTTGAGTAAAGGGACTGGGGTACCATCACACCCTGTTTTATAGGGGATCGATGGGTAAGAAGCCATCAGGCGAGCCGCAAAGTCTCAGGTGGGTGGGGCCGTACGTCCATCGTAAAAGTTCTCGACTCCTGAGAAAATTTACAACTATCGGCCCGCGAGATTTAACGACCAGTTTATAGATCCAGCGGTTTTCGATTCGATATAAACTTGTTCGCTCGCGGTGACGCCCATCTGGACGTGCTATTTGACAGCTATTGCGCCTTTGGCAATCGCCGCATAGTTGTGTTACGATTTGTTTACATTATTTTATACATTTATTGTGACAGTATAATGTCACATTGTAAATTTCAAAATCACTTTTTGTATCTGTAGGAGGACAGGGGATTTTAAAGTGAAAAACCGATAGTGTCAACTACAATGTTTATTTAAATCATTTTCTTTCAAGTAACTTCTTGTTTACATTTTAAAGTTGTTTATTAATGCACCTAATTCATAATTTATTATCAATGATTAAAATAAAACCTTTGAAGGTATGTATTTAGTTTTAGTTACTTACCTAAAAGTCTGCATCAAAACCTGGAACAAATAACAGTCATCAGTAATTATTAGTACTAAATTTCACTAGTGGTCTAGTAGAGCGAGGTAATGTCATAAAAAATCCATTGCACCAATTTGATTCGTAAGTAACGCAATAAGTGAGAAAATGAGAAAATACCAACAAGATCTTGCTTGAGTCATACCAAACCTAAAATACGTGAACCGGCAGCGAGAAGCAGCTAAATGTATACGAGTAGTATGGGTATAAGCGATTAATCTATGAAGGAATCGTTAAGAGGGCAGCTGCGTACGAAATATAGTTAATAAGAAAGAATCGCAAACAAAAGATTAGTATGATCTAAAATTTTTAAATTATATGTTTGTTCTCAATCATTATTTACATCAATTCACAAAAACAAAATTTTTTTTATAGGATAGGGTTGACAAACGAGCACACAGTTCACTTGATGGTAAGTGGTTGCTGCGGTCCACAGACATCTACATCTACCCTCCATTAAAAATCAAAATGCAGATGCGTTGTCACCCGTGACGACTGAGATGGAATGCCTCAT